GTATGTAAGTAAGTACATAAGTAAGTTTGTTAGTAAGTATGTAAGTACGTAAGTACATAAGTAAGTAGATCTTAGGATCCACTGTGGGATGGACCTTTAATCCTTCCTGCCTACAGCCATCAGCATCTATAACATCTCTTAAGGAAATGAAGATAACGAGTAACAACAACAAATAATTTCCCTTTGGGATTAATAAAGTATTTTTGAATTGAATTGAATTGAATATGTGAGTAAGTAAATAAATAAGTAAGTAAGTAAGAAAGTCTTGTTGTTAGAGAACGTTTCATTACCATTTGTCTGGTTCATGAGAGATCTTAGTGACAAACAGACACACGTGTACACAAACAAATAAAAAAACATGATCAACATTAGCTACGCTTGCCTTTAGTGGTATGTGATGAAGTTATTTGTGAAACAAATTACCTAAAAATACTCACTGAAGTTTAAATATATGAAACTAAATGGTAAATGGACTGTACTTATATAGCACCTTTCTATCTTATGAAGATACTCAAAGTGCTAAACTGATTTATAAATCAATGGCACGCATTGGTTGAACTTTTAACGGTGTTTAAGTATTTAAGGCTAAGCCATAAAAACACATGTATTCAGCAGCTGCCGATGACTTTAGATGACAAAATGAACCATTTGAAGGTGGAAAGCTTCAGTCAGTAAGACTCACATGTGGTCTGCTGGCTGGTCACGGGGTCACTGGCCTCCTCTCCATACAGGGCGTAAACTGTTACCGTGTACTCGGTAGCTGGAGTCAGTCCCTCCAGCTCCACTTCGTTCACGGAGTCCGCCACTTTCACCTGCACGCAAACACATTTAAACCACGGTGAAGGGTTTTACTTTGTAAAGCTTCTCATGTGGGCCTGCTCTGTATCTGTATCTGTATTTGTCCTGCTCTCCACAAAATGAGCTCACTGCTGTGCTTTTGATTTCTGTAAATAATCTTATAGAAAACAATACGAAGTTAAAAACTCTTCATTCTCTATGAGTTTTGTGCTGACATGACGTGACAGCTCTCACAGTGTTGCCACGCACACAGAAGCTGAAACAAAGTAAAAGCATCACAAAAGTTGTTTTTTTTTTTTTTGCAAAATAAAATGAAACATTTAGGATTTGCATGCAGAATTATGGAAATTAGATTTGTTTGTTTTTCATTTGACCTCCTGTGGCCCTGACGGAGGCGGCTAACGAGACTTCAGAATGCAAATGAATGGACAAAGCATCTCTTGAGTCATTCTGGAACATAATCCCTACATGTTTTCATTAAAAATATCCAGTATCTCTTTTACTTTTTGGTTCAGTTTGAATTAAATCCCATTTTTGCTCAGTCTGGACCAATTTGCCAACTTTCCCAAATGGCCTGTGAGTAGAACTGACACAAGCTGAAACCAGCCAAGTCCGGGCCGTTGACATTGGAGCCCCAGAGCCAAGCTCATCTTTGTTGCTGGAAAGCATCCATCCTAAATCTGAGTTCCTTTCTGGACTGTTTTTATTGCCTTCTACCTGCAGGGGAACGTGACGGCAGGTATAATGAGGTCTAAAGGGAGTGGAGGCAGAACACTGTGCCTCTCATCCTCCTCTACCATGTGCGTCTCAGATTCAATAACTGAGGGAATCTTGGTATTTTAATAATTTTTCTATTTGGTTTTGATTTACAAACACAACCAGTTTGCAATCGTCTAAAAATTCATCATTTTTTATAAATGTGTCAAAACATATTTATTTCAGGCATCATCAGCGGGTGTGTCATTTCTTACACTGCACTAAACAAAAATATAACAACATTCTTTATCATGCTCCATTTTTAATCTAATTTTTAATGCTGCTGTTTAAGTGAATGTGCTGACGAACATGATTCATATGCTGTAGATGTTCCTAGTTAACAAAGACAAAAAGTAACAAATAAATCTGTCGTACATGGGATAAAAAGTCCGTGCTTAATGTAAAACATGGAGAAGAAGACGGTAGTCGTACAGTTTGAAAGCATACTTGTAAATCTTTGGATTCATTTACCACTATGAAAACATCTGAAAGTATAATTTTTGAAGGCTGAATTATAATTTCCAAAAATCTTGTTTTTTTTAACCTGAAGTCAGTTCTATTCAATAAACATATGACATTTAATTTTTTTTTTCTGCAGCTCTCTCTCTCTATATTTTTTCCTTATTATTTATATACACATAGTATATGAATATATCAAATAGTATATTAATATATATATATATATATATATATATATATATATATATACTTTATATGTGTATACATAGTATTATATATACTATACCATTGTATTCTTTACTTTAGTAAAGAATACAGAAATAAGGCTTAAGCAATATAAACATATATATATATATATATATATATATATACACATAGTCAATATATAGTCTGTGTTTATATGAAACACAGACTTTTTTTCTTAATAATTATGACTCATATTTGGCCAGATATTTTAAAAACAACATCACAAAAAAAGTATCAACATTTAATAAAATTTAAAATGACGTTAACGTGATAAAATAACAAAGGAGACACTTTATTGAAGATATGAGAAGATAGAATTTAAGATCAAGCTCTAAAAGTTCAGAGGTCTAATCCTGCTTTTGTTTGATATTTTCTAATAACTTTCAGCTGTTTCTGTTTACCTGAAAGGCTGACAGATTTATCTTGATGAAAGTCCTGACAATGGACTTATTTTTAACTCATATTTCATAGAAAACCACTTGTTTATCTGTAGCTGATCTGGACCATTGACCTTACTCAGAAATCAGATTTGGACCCTTGAACATAAAGTTTGAGAACTCGTGCTGTACTCAAGTTGTATTTCATTGACTGTGTTTCCATCCTCATAGCTGCTGTTGCACACACTAAAAAACTTTACCTCCTTCTCATCTCCAGATTCCTCCTCAGTCAGCGGGGCGTACAGGATCATGTACCCAGACGCCCCGGCAGCAGCCTTCCAGCGGACCCTCATGGAGCTGTGAGTGATATCAAACAACTCCAGGTCGTTCACCATGGGCAGGGCCACTGCAAAACATTACAGGATTACCTGGTGATCAAACTGACTGCAAAACTTTCACACCTTAAAATGCATTTTTAATTCATTAAAACAACAAATATATAGCTATCTATATATATCTATATAATATATATTTATTTTCAAACTATCAGCATTTCTTGTCATCTTTTATTACTTAATAGTTCTACTTATTAAAAAGCAATTTTTGCTTTGGATTTTGGCTTTTCGTTTCCTTCATTATCTGTAAATTCCTTTTTTGGGACCATGATGGCATTTTGTGAAGTATGTCCTCGAAAAATACTGGGACATAGACAAGACCTAAAACAATATCTACAGCAAAAGAACTGTTTCTAAAAGTCACGTCTTCAGAAAATAAGACAAAAAATGATCAAAACCCAACACAGGACATGAGATGCATCATTGCTCAATCAAGTGCACGACAGGTTTCTTGTTGGGGCTGAAATGCTCAATCGCCTGACAAGTAGGCCTTTCACGATAATAAATTTTGCTGGGCGATTAAATGTCTCAGAAATTATTGCGATAAACGATAATATCGTTTGAAATTTGACAATAATTAGTAATTACTGTCAAATTTAAGAAGAAATGTTTAATTTGTTTTGTATGCAGTACCTTTTTTAGACCACCAGTATAAGACTGAACTGAAGGATGGATAGTGAAGGAGTGAGAAGCGTGTGTCTTTAAGAAAAATGGGAGGGAGGAGCTTTGACAAGACAGAGGTTTTTATTTTACCTGAGGTTGGCCTGTTGGCTTATCTCGTAGCTTAGCTTCTCAGCCTAGCTGCTTTTAACAATCGAAAACCACAATTGTGGACGGTTAAAACTGATTTTAAAGAGAAAAGAGAACGGGAGGGGTTAGTGAAGAGCACCGGAGTTGAGCCGTGTCTTCGGTCGAAAGAGAGACACGAAGAAACGATAAAGCCGATAAATGAAAATGAGGTCCAAAATTTTCATTTATCGTGCGATTCATTGATTTATTGCTTATCGTGACAGGCCTACTGACAAGTTGCCCACATTATCAATTTTCCCAGTTGTTTATGTGTAGACTGGCTCATCCCTTGAGTTTAGAATCCTTTAAATGCCTGAGTGGTTTATAAGTCATAGTTAAATAGCTTAAACAAACACCATACTTATAATGGTCAATAACTGGTCAGGAAATTTTGAAAAATTGCAGCCAATGTTAGTGGACCTTTAACAACAAGCAAAGCTTTTGCTTGGAACCAGTTGTATAAAAATACACGAAACTTGTCTTTTTGAAAGCAAAATAAAAATAAATAAGATGATGTATGCACAGTACTTTACTGTACATCTTTAAATATTTAATAGCTAAACACATGCTCTAAAATCAAGCAATATTTTACTGTAAGATTACTTCCAGGTTGAATTGTGACTTATTCCTCCAACATGGAGGAATGCTCTATCATCCATCATTGAACAACACAATGAAAGGACCGAAAATCCTGCCTGACTCTGGCTTAGGTTATCACTTTAGGGCCTGGGGCGATGCTTTCAGAATTAGATCCAACCCACAAGCTACCTGTCAGTGTGTAGGATCAGGACTTGAATTCCTAAAATGTTTGTAGCTCAAACACAGAGTCCTTTGCTGTAGTTTGACACATATCAACCAGTGGATGGTTGTCTCTAAAGACAGGTGCTATTGTTTCAAAGTGATGAAAAGACCATGCGTGCCTTCTGTTAAGCAAAATGTAGAAATGAAATGTTTGATGGTCCTTTAAAACCAATCAGTGTAGTCAGAACAAGGAGAAAAAGAAACAAAAAAAGATTGGAAAACCCATTTCAGTAAAATTAAATACAAGTTCAGCTGTTTTAGATATTTGTAGTCCTTCTGAAACCACAAAATAAAATAAATTGTATTTTACAACCACTGCAATCTGGAACCAGATGGTAGGAAGTGTTTCAGCAAGAAAGACTGAACGACGAAGTTGAGAGTAACAGTTAAGGATACCTGGATTCTTTTTTCAAAAAACAAACCAAAAAAAAAAAAGGTAAGCCATGTTTGACTTTAAGGTCATGAGAAACAGGAAGATTTTTTCTTCACATGTTGACAGAAGGTATTCAAAGCCAGCCAACATTATCCTTCTAAAACTTTATGGAAGGACCGTTTCCCAGCTTGTCTGAAAATAAAACTGGACCTTTAAGATGGCGAGAGGCAAACTTTGCTTGCTTTAAAGCATTTAATGATTTGTCTTTGTGATAATGGAACAAAGAAAAACTTACATGTAGTGGCACTTCCTCTCAGGGCCTCACTGGCTAAATTGCGGTAGATGGCAAACACAGCCACCTGGTACTCGGTCAGAGAGTTTAGGTAGTTCAGCTCCACACTGTTCACCGTCCCTTGGACCACCTGAAAGACATGTCCAACTGGCAGTTACTCCAACTGTAGCATCTTTATAAAACCACAGACAAAATTTTATGAGTATATCCATGTCCAACATGTGTACTGAGTTACAGTCAGTCATTCGAGGATGCTAAATATTAAATATCACCTGCTGCTGAAAGGCAGTGGTGGATTGCAGGATCCTAAATGCAGTTTTGTTATATACTCCATGGACAGTGGCCGAAGGTGAGGGCCTTGGCGCTCTGAGCCTGGCTTACCAAATTTGGCACTTGAGACATGAAATGTAACCTCTCTGGTGGGGAAGGAGTTTGAACTTGTGCAAGGGGTTGAGAACTACTGACTAGATACAGTTGGGTTCACCTTGGTGTGCAGCATAGGCTCTGGAAAGAACGTCCTCAAGAGAGGCTGGACTTTATTCCTTTCTGTGGGACAACCTCGACCAGTGATGTCATCAAGTGGTGAAAGAAATATTTCTCTGACCTCAATCCCACCGGCATGTCTTCCATGGAGGAAGCAGAGTCAGGGGATTTTGTGGTCGGCCTGTCCATAACTGTGACTGAGGTCACTAATTAAAAAGCTATGCAGCAGTAGGGCTTTGGGGGTGGACAATCCGCCCTAATTTCCTTAAGACTCTGGATGTTGTGGGGCTGTCATGGTTGACACACCTTTGCAACACTGTATGGACATCTGGGGTAATGCCACTGGCAGACTGGGGTGGTGGTTCCCGTCTTCAAAAAGAGGGACCAAAGGGTGTGCTCCAATTATAGGGGCATCACTTTCCTTAACCTCCCTGGTAAGGTCTACTTAGGGGTACTGGAAAAGCGTGTCTGATCATTGGTCGAAGTTCAGATCCAGGAGGAACAATGTGAGTTCTGTCCCGGCCGTGGAACACTAGACCATCTCTTTACCCTCAATAAGATCCGCAAGAGGTCAAAGGAGTTTTCCTATCCAGTCTACATGTGCTTTGTGGACTTGGAGAAGGCATTCGACTGTGTTCCTCGGGGTACACTGTGGGGGGTGCTCTGTGAGTATGGGATTAGGGGCCTGTTGTTATGGGCTGTTTGGTCCCTATATAAGCGGTGCAAGAGTTTGGTTCGCATTGCCGGCAGTAAATTGGACCCCTTCAAGATGGGAGTTGGACTCTGCCGGGGCTGCTTGTTGTCACCAATTCTATTCATAACTTTCATGAACAGAATTTCTTAGTGCAGCCAGTGGGTGGAGGGAGTCCGATTCAGTGAACTCAGGATTCCTTCTCTGCTATTTGATCCTGTTGACGTCACCATGCAATGATCTTCAGCTCTCACTGGAGCAGTTCGCAGCCGAGTGTGAAGCGAATGGGAAGTGGATCAGCACCTCCAAATCTGAGGCCATGGTCCTCAGTCAGAAAATAGTGGACTGCTCTCTTTGGGTTGAGGGTGAGGTTCTACCTAAAGTTGAGGAGTTTAAGTATCTTGTAGTTTTAGTTCACTAGTGAGGGAAGAATGGAGCGTGAGATTGACAGATGGACTGGTGCAGCGTATGCAGTATTGTGGACTCTGTACCGGTCTGTTGTTGTGAAAAAAGATCTGAGCTGTAAGGTGAAGCTCTCTGTTTACCAGTCCGTCTATGTTCCTTCCCTCACCTATGGCCATGAACTCTGGATAGTGACCTAAAGCACAATATCACAGATACAGGCGGTTGAAATGCGTTTCCTCTGGAGGGTAGCTGGACTCTCCCTTAGAGACAGGGTGAGAAGTTCAGTTATCCAGGAGGGACTCAGAGTAGAACCGCTGCTCCTCCACATCGAGAGGAGCCAGTTGAGGTGGTTTGAGCATCTGGTAAGGATGCTTCCTGGGCGCCTTCCTCAGGAGGTGCATCAGGTATACCCGGTTGGGAGGAGACCCTGGAAAAGACATGCTGGAGAGACTGTCTTTTGGTTGGCCTGGGAACGCCTTCAAGTCCTCCCAGAAGAGCTGGAAGAGGTGGCTGTGGAAAAAGATGTCTGGACCTCCCTGCTCAAGCTACTGCCCTGACTTTGGATCATACGGAAGATAATGGATGGATAGATGGATGTGAGACAACAAACTTTTATACCTTACCAATTAAAAAAATCACAATTTGAATAAATATTTGAATATACTTTAAGAAAAAAAAAGTTGTTTTAAAGACATCTATGTATATAACAGGCTGCGATGTTATTTCACAAAATGTATTTGCCTAATGTAAAAAAATAAAAACTTAGGGAGGGTGTCAAATAAAACCACAAATCAAATCTGTAACATTATTTTTTTAGTTATGACCACGTTTGATCTATGTGGTGATGCTTTATTTGTTTCTTCTTTTTGATTAACACAGTTAATGGCTGCATTGGAAATGGGTACATTTTTGTAAATGTTAACTGTGTCAGGTTTTTCTCGGCAGATCAGGACAGAAGAACCCAGTTGCGCAGGCAGGACTCAGGAGGCAGATGTATAAGATAAAAATACTTTTAATAATAATAATAATAAATCAAAAAGGCTGACATGGCAGCAAAACTTACATGGACTCAAGAACAAGATCACACAGGCAGGACAAGACAGGCATTACCCAACGACGAACCGACAATGACAGAACTGACAGACAGACTTTATATACACACAACCAGGACATGACACAGGTGACGATAATCAGACAATCAATTCAGACACAAGGGAGAACAGACAGGGGGAAGGCCCACTAGATGGTGCCATCCTTACAAACTGCAGCAATTAGATTTATTTTATGAACTCTTTGAAGGCTTAATCTTTAGTACAGCTCCCATTTTTTATGAAAATTACTCTTAAGAAATGAAATTGCGGTGACCCAAAGAGGATTGGCTGAGCTGCACAAATTAAAAGGTCACAAATATATCAAGTTCCAAGTATTGTGCTTGCCTTGCGTTCAGAAATCAGTAACTTCATCATAGACAAAAACACACACAATAGTCATTGATAATATGTCAGAGAATTAAAAAAGCCTTCTAATAATCAGTCCGCTAGAGACCAAAAACTACAAAATCTTTGCTAACTGTGGTAAACTGGAAGAAAAAAAAGACTCATTAAAAGTAAATTTAACCACCAACTTGAAGATCAAGGTAGAAATAAATGCAAATAATTTATAACATGAACTAAAGTAACATGAAAATATCAGGAAATGTGCATTTAAAATGTAAAATAAAGGAATTGGCATACTTTTTCTTCTGGTTGGCCTCCACTGGCAGGGTAGTAGACAACTCGGTATTTCTCCACCTGGCCCTCTGGGTGAGTCCATGTCACACGGAAACTTCGAGCCGTAATGTCCGACGTCACAAGGTTACGAGGAGGAGAGGAGGAGGTGGGAGGAGGTGCAGGTTCTCCTCCCCCTGTAGAAAACAAAGAGAGAGCAAATTATGCATCCATTCCAAGCTTTAGTCACGTAAATACAAACTGAAATGTATTTCTAGTACAATCATGCCCCCCCGAGTGCCACTATCCTGTAAGTTTAGTCCTTTTCCTGCTCTTCATCATTTCCTCATGTTCTGCAGGCACATGTCAATCACTCGTTCATTCAAATCAGTTGTGTCAAAGCAGAAAAACATCTACACCACGCAGGATCGTGGCCCTCTAGGACCGGGATTGGACACATCTGATCTCGATGATTCATAATATAAATTACGACGGTCGCTTCATTGCATTAAACAGAAATTATGAATTTTTATTGACTAAAATTGAAAGTTCAAACCTTTAATCTGTTTGTCGAGTTGATCCACACGGTCACAGATGGTCTTAGTGAGGCCTTCCACGATGTCGCTCATCACACTGAAGTCTGCCACGTTGTACACGTGAGTTTCCTCAGGAGGCGAGGCGATGGACTTCAGCTCGTTCTCATCAGCGTTTTTAACACCTGAAGGGAGGAAAAAAAAAATAACCAGACGGAGACGATGAGAGGAAACCTCAACCTGCCTGAGAAAAATACATTAAAGGTGTCTGGGATGGGTTTCTGATGCAACACAGACCAACACATGTAGGATTTCATTTACTCATACAGAAACATTTCTAACTGCAAAGTTTGATCCGTGGCTGAAAAGGTAAAAAAAAAAAAAAAAAAAAAAAAAAAAAACAATATCTGCTGAACATAAAACATTTTTAGAGACAGATTTCTGTGAAGCAGTTTTTTTTTGTGGCTCATAGTCAAGAAACTGAATTCTCCAAACTGACATGTCTGACTTGTGTCTACTGCAGGTGAGATAATGACTACGCATTACTGCTCCATCGAAACACAAATAAAAAAGAAAACAAATCTGTTCTTTAATAGAACATGTGAAAACCTTCATATTTTTCTTATTAACAGAATACGTTCGCTTGAGGTGGACGAGCTGCACATTAAATTTAGTTTGTTATGAAGCAAACCAAACTGTAGACAGCTTCCTATTTCAAAATAAATTGCTCCATTTTTTTTTTTGTCGATTCTCTAAATATATATTGGTGACACATACCAATGGCAAACAGTTCTATCCCAGCACTCTTCAGACTTTGCGCAGGAGGAATCACATCATCCTGAGACTTCCCATCAGTGATGAGGATTCCTATTTTTGGGACACCGGGCCTGGAGCCTGACTCTGCTTTGAAACTGTTCTCCTGGATAAAAGTCAGAGCCAGACCTGGAAAGAGGGGACACAATAAGACACAAACAGAAGTCTATAACAAAAATTAATTTGTACTAAAAACAGTGAAGTATGCATAAATTTGGTAAAATAGACTTTTGAATTAAAAAGAAAAAAATTATCTGCACCAATAGGCAGAAACTGTTACATTTCTATAGAGTGATTGATTTAATTAAAAAACTTGCAAAATTTAAATAAAACAAAAAAGACAAAAAAAATGTAAATAATAATAATAAAAACTAGAGAAATGTAATTTCCTTCGAAAATAGTGTGAACACTAATTACAGAAGAACTTGCTGAAAAACAGCTGAAATTAGCTAAAAATCATGCTGAAAGTTAGCTGAAACAGCAGAACAGGCTTAAATTAACATAAGAAGTGATGAGCACAAAAAAGTGGAAATTATCTCGAAAAAGCTGAGATTAGCATAAAACCAGTGCAAAAGTAGCTAAAAAAGCAGAAATAAGGTAACATTACCAGAAGGAAGTGGAGAGAGCATATTTTTGAAGAATTAGGCTGAAAAAAGTTTAAATGAGTGCAAACATCATGTGAAATAAGCTGAAATAGCTCAAATTAGCAACAAATAAAATAAACTCAACCCAGCTAAATAGTAGATGAGATTGCAGAAAAAGCTGAAACTTGCAAAAATTAGCTGAAAGGGGCATAACGAGCTGAAATGAGCAGAAAGAAGATAGAAGAAGCGCACAGATGTAGTTAGCAGAAATAATCTGAAAGAATCACAAAACAGCTGAAAGTAGCTGAAAACATTTCAATTTGCACAAGGAAGCTGAAAGAAGCTGAAGCAGAACAAAACGTGAAACGAGCAGTAAAAGGCTGTAAACAGATGTAAAGAGTTGAAGGATGTAAAATGAGCTCAATTCATTTTCTATGAGAAAAATAAAAGGCAGATAAGGCTAAATAATGAAAACAGCTAAAGATGCACCAATAGCTGAAGTCACAGCAGGATTGTCCTGAAAGAGCTGAACATTTTGACATATGATTTGTTGAAATAGAACAAACATTGTGGAACGAGAATTGCGACAAATAACATAAGGAAGAAAAATGGATCACAATAGTGTGAATGCTTCATAAACGTTCTAATAACTTGTATAACAAACAATGAAGCATCTGTTTTTTTCTCTTTCCAAATGTGCATTTAATCCCAGGAATATTCTATAATACTGATACTCTGAGATGACAGCAGACTATTACTTCCCCGTCACTCAAACACCAAAACTTTGAGAACCCTCTTGACAGGTGCAAAGTTTTAAAGCACACTCTGAGACTAAAGCAAGTTGGCAGAGAACAGACTGCTGCCCGTTGTCGTCTTCCTGTGGCAGTTAGGCAGCGAATAAAGGAAAGTGTTTCTAAAAAGGACAAAGAATAAAGATACAATGCGGCGCAGGTGAGGCTTGATGAAAAATCGCCTTCCGTTACAAAAGCAACAGATGTTGCTGCTCGACAAAGCTACAGGCGGAATAATAGAGCGAGTGACTGGTTTCAGCAATTATTCTGGCCGTAAGGCAGATCATTTATTAAAACAAGTACATATGTACAGATTAAACTCCGTTGCAATATGGAGCATTTAAAATATGCTTATTAAATGAAATGGTTCAAATTATTAGAAAAATTTAATTTGTGATCCAAATCAAAAACTAAACTAGATGAATCAAATCTAGCTTGAACGCTGAGAGATGAAGGACGTGGCACAAATGATTGCCTAATTGTTTAAAAACTGAACAAGCAGAAAATATGAAATCAGCAAAAGCAGAAAAAAAAAAAAATGAAATGAGCAAAACTTTTGCCAAAGGCTATAATTTTCAAAACAGAAGCTAAAGGCTAAAATTAGCAAAACCATAGTTAAAACTTGCAAAACTGTAGCTAAAAGTTAACATGCAAAAGAGTAAGAAAATGCTAAATGTAGCAGAACGGTAGCTGAAAGCTAAGGGAGCAAAATACACAAATAAATAAACAAATAAAGCAAGTATGCTGAAGAAGATTTTAGAGAATAAGTTAAGTAAATAAAGAGATCTCAGTGTATTTCTATTGCAATTTTTTTTTCAAATAAAGTTAAGTAATTCAAAAAGTCAAAAAAGTACAAATATTAAGTCATAGCACATCATGTGTGAGCAAGCCAAACGTTTTGGGGCTTCAAAAGTTAAAGAAAAATAAATGTTGCATGAGTAGCTTCATTGCAAACAATGTATGAAGGACATTATAAACTAGTAAAGAAAAAAAATAGCGAAAGTTGTGCTAACAAACAAACCACTATAATTTAGACACATTTCAAGGTATGCCTGTGAATATTTAAACGAAACCCAAAAATGGCACATTTCTGTATAACTGAATGATTGAATCAAAAAGAGAGGCACATTCATTAGCTTGGTGTACGACTTAATTTTAGGAGTAGGACTACAGCGAGGAAGAGATGGAGAGTAAAGCTGACAGTTAAGAGAATGTGCTTGAGGAGCTGGAGACATTTGAGAAGAGAGGCGTATCAAATAGATTAATTGCAGAGTTAACATACTTTGACACACTTTCATTTGTCAAAGTGCAAAAGAGCTTTTTTTTTTTTTCTCACACAGAAGCAGAATCTCCTGAGTGTAAGTTAAGGAAAAAAAGTGTTTGCAGCAAACAAGCCAGCATATTTCTCCATCGATGTCTAAGATATTTTAATAGTGTGAATTCTTATTAAGCTTTCACACTATTGTGATCCTGTTTATCTTTATTATTCACACTATTGTGATCCTGTTTATCTTTATTATTCACACTATTGTAATCCTGTTGATATTTATTAATCACACTGTTGTAATCCTGTTTATATTTATTATTTACACTATTGTGATCATGATTATATTTATTATTCACACTATTGTGATCCTGTTTATATTTATTATTCACAATATTGTGATCCTTTTTGTATGTATTATTCACACTATTATGATCCTGTTTATATTTATTATTCACACTATTGTGATCTGTTTATATTTTTAATCACACTATTATGATCCTGTTTATATTTAGTATTCACAATATTGTAATCCTGTTTATATTTAGTATTCACAATATTGTAATCCTGTTTATATTTAGTATTCACACTGTTGTGATCCTGTTTATATTTAATATTCCATAGTCCTGGCGTTACTTAATCTATCCCGTACATTTTTCTAATCGATTCTCGTCCCCCAGTTTTCAAGCTATTTCAACAAATCATATATCAAAATGTTTGTCTCCTTCAAGAGAAGGGTGCAATGACTTTTTGTTATTGATTCAGCTTTAGCTTCTTGAAATATTTAGCCTTTTCTGCAATTTTTTCTCATAGAAAATGAATTGAGCTCATTTTACATTCTTCAAAAATTTTAGATGTTTCAAATAATAATAAAAATTTTTTTCAAAAATTCTTTATTATTCCCAAAAGGAATTTTTACAACCTTTTACTGAGCCTTTCTGTTTATTTCTGCTAGTTTCAGTTATTTAAAGTACTATTTAATTGTTTTATGCTAATTTTAGCTTTTTCAGCTAATTCCAATTTTTTGCTCTCGTTTCAACTTTTTTCAGCCTAGTTCAGCAAAAAATGTGCTCCCTCTACTTCCTAATGGTACTTAACTTTATTTCAGTTTTTTAGCCATTTTTCAGTAGATTTTTGCTAATTTCAGCTTTTTTCAGATCATTTTCACTTTCTTGATGCTTATTTCTGCTTCTTTCAGCAAAAATTCTTTTTCTGCCCTTTTCTGCTAATTTAAGCTTGTTCTACATTTTCAGCTACCTTTTTAACCATTTTTAGCTAATTTCAGCTGTTTTCAGATAAATCCGAGATTTTGTGGTCTGCTATTTTCAACCTAAATAATACATTTCTGCAAATTTTAGCTCGATATGCTAGTTTAAACTTTTTCTGCTATTCCAGCTACTTTGTAGTTGTTTTTGTGCTATTTTTTTCAGTTAATTCCACATTCTTTAGCTTATTTCAGTTCCTTCTACTTCCTTCTGGTAGTTTAAGTTTCTTTCTGCCTTTTCAGCTACTTGTCAGCCATTTTGTGTTGTTGCCAATTTAAGCTTTTTTTTTTTTAGTTAATTTCCTAATGTTTGTGCTAATTTCTGCTTATTTAAACCTAATTCAGCAAATACGTGTTATTTCTGATTTGTTCTGTTAACTTAGGCTTGATCTTCTATTTCAGCTACATTTTAGCATGTTTTTAGCTAATTTCAGCTGTTTTTCAGCAAGTTCTTCAGCAATAAGCATTTTCGCAGGAAATGCAGTTTCTCTAGTTCGTATTAGAGGTTCACTCCTGAAGGTAAAAACAATTTGATTGATTTGATTCCCTGAAAAAAACATGAATGTTAGGCGGCCTTCAGACCCATGCCCCCCTTGCAACAAAGATCTGTGATCTCAGTGGGATTTGCCTGGATAAGTAAAGGTTAATAAATACATAAATAAAGTCTCCCATAAATTTAACACAGAAAACTTGAAAATGGAGTAATTATCAATGCTGGGCTTGCTCTCAGGTTTTAAAACCTCCATGCTGTGATTTAAAATGTGCGTTTTAAACCTGAGCCTCTAAAGCCTAAAAAATAGCATTATTTTGACAAACTAGCGTCATCCTTTCCTTGACAAAGTGACAATGACGTTAGAGCCACTTTATACTTTTTGAAGAAACATTTTTTTCAAAGAAGCAAAGTCCCAGCTGACAGTTTGATTGCACTCCCAGTTTTCCTCTGAGGTGCAGTAAATAAATAAAAAATAGAATGTGTCAGAACCAACGCAGCACCTCAAGAGTCACAGGCTAAACTAAACCTTAATGGCTGCAAAGTGTCGTTGCTTTGGAAAGGTTTATGTCTCTGGGGTTTGATCACATAATGAGCAGCTGAGTTATGTTGGATTCGATAATGACACTTTGGATTTTTCCACCAACTTCTAAGAGGATCCTCGAAGAATCCCCGCTGGGCACTGGAATATTAACGCAACTTTGAGAACAACACATTTTTAAAGGAAGACGAGTGCTTTCTCACATAAAGCTGGGATTCTGCAAATAAACTGCCACTCATTCAAAACAAGAAAGAAAGAAAAAAGAATATTACCACAACTAAAAGTTTTGGATTAAAAAAAAAAACATTTTAAATTAAACTAGAAAAATGTACTTTGATACTTTTTTGTTTTTTAATCACATTTTTAAGGAACTTTTTGCATCAGAAACAACTAGGGAACTGGAAAAGCTCCAAAATACATGAAGCGTTACGACTCAACTGATGCGTTCAACACGTGAACATTTTAATGTTTTTATTTCAGCGGCTCCCTTTTTCCGAGGACACCACAACGAACTCGCATGAAGACTTGACAATTGTTTTTATGCCGGCGCCCTTCCTGACGCAACCACAGGTCACCGGAGCAGAGAGCTGCCATCTAATGAGCCCGGGGTGCAGCTGTGGGGTTAAGGGCTTTGATCAAGAGCCAAGAGTGGGACAAATGAGGGTGAGGCAGGTGTGGGTGATTCACCATTCCCACCCTCATTTCTGTTGTTGGTCTGCGGATTCGAACCAGCAACCTTCAAATCACAGGCTCGCCTTCTCTAACCTCACTGAATATACCTTGAATAAAGGTTTTTCTTACACAACAGCTATTTTTTTTATCGTTATACACTGGGTGCTGCACGGTGGCGCAGTTGGTAGAGCTGCCGCCTCTCAGCAGGAAGGTTGCCTGATCGAATCCCGGCCGGAGATCTTTCTGGGTTGGGTTTGCATGTTCTCTCCGTGCATGCGTGCGTTTTCTCCGGGTACTCCGGTTTCCAGCCACTGATCAAAAACATGCATGTTAGACTGATTGGTAACTTTAAATTGTCTCTAGGTGTGAGAGTGAGAGAGTGAATGGTTGCTTGTCTCATTTGTCTCTATAAAGTGTCCCTGTAATGGACTGGAGGTCTGTCCAGGGCCTCTCGTACAGTGACTGTTGGATATGGGCACCAGTGACCCCCACGACCCAAAATGGAAGAAGCAGGTAAAAGATAATGGATGGATGTTTTTGTTTGCTGCCTATTAAACCTACAAGATGTCTATCGTGTCATAAACATTCTACTTTAACGTTGAGGCCACCGATGGGCAATGTACAACCTGGGGGTCAGGACCAGCTTGACAATTTCCATCCAGCTCACCGTGTCCTCAACTGAAACCAAAACTTCAAAGAAATGAATGAAAACCAGGGCTTTGTTGATTTTTGTGTGAAAATGTTATACATATTAGACGTATTGAAAGTCTAGTTTTAGACATTTTCTACAAAGCCCAGTCTCCAGACTTTTTTCCTCATTAATGCCAGGGACAATGCTGGTAAAACTAAATCTAACACGGATGCTTTAGAAGCATTTGTCTACAAGTTGCATCTTTAAACTTACTTTTGGCATTCAAAGAGTTTTAACATATCGAAAGGGTTCATTGTCAAAAGACACTTGTTCAAAGTTGCAAACTATACAAAAAATTTCACATCCTTAGATAAAAGTGTCAAAAGCTTTTGGCATTTTCCTTTAAAGCTACATTTTTATTAGATAGAACCATAAATCAATAAGCAATAATAGCTACATGCTATAAACAGACGAGCCCTTTCTCTGTCTGCAAAACTTTGGAAATAAGGTGGGTAAAACGCGATCGGTTGCTTCATGTCACATAATGAAACATAGCCCTGAAGGAAAAGAGGAGAAATTTATTGGCTACCTCTGGTCTAATCAGATCTGAGATTGTTAGTCAAGTTATAAATCCATAACTACCAGCCTGAAATTACCTGTCCTGAGATGAACGTAATAAATCATACTGGCAAACAGGCTAAATTTAAGGTAGCACTCTACTGTAAGTATCATCTGTTCATTGTGATGTGTATGCCGGACTCCACTGACTGGAAGATAAACTGTCTCTTGTTGTTTATAGTCTGGTACGGCACCTGTTAGTGTGTTTCCTCCTTTGTACGGCAGGTTTTTCACCGCATCTATCACAGCTTCTTTGGTGGTGTGAGTCTTTAGATGCCACTCGATCCTGGGGTCTCCACTGTACTGAGCCAGACCTGCACACGCACAAAAAAAAAAAAAAGTTTCTAGAAATCTTCACGTAATATACTTAAATTAATGCAAGAGTCCATCACAGCCTCACCTATCCTTGTCTTGTCAAACTCCACAGAGAAGGCCCGGACCAGGTTTTCCAGGAAGGTTCGAACCAGTCTGAAGTTGATGCGGCCGATACTCCAAGAACCATCCACCAGAATCACAATGTCGGCTATGGCTGGAGTCTTGCACATGAATCCCTCTTCAACTAATAAAGAGAATCAAATCATAAAAAGCACAATTATAACACAGAAAACAAGGTCAAATTAAACAGGAAATTAAACTAAATTCTAACTTGGCGTCCTTCCCGAGTGGTTTTGAAACAAGCCTGAGAACATAAAGACGTTTTGCAGTGACAGTAATGAAAAGCTTAATAAACTTGTGTACAACAGCCAACAGTGCGCATGATAAATGTGCAAAGATAAAAAGTGGGACAACGGTATTTGCAGCTTGTGTCCTGAAGTATTACAAAGTGTTTCATTAATTCTAATTCACTTCAACACAGAATAATTAAACCCCAGAGGAGCGAGGCGCTTAGCTTTAGCAGATGAAAAATAACAGCCCACTCTGTTGGGTTTCAACAGTTTACTGGATGATAAAACAGGCCAGACTCTAATGAGGCAACAGCAGTTCATTTACAAAATCTGGTACGGCAAATAAAGTGAGCCAGAGGCTGAACGCATAAGGAAACAGCAACATCAACTTCAGTCAATCTTTCCTTCGTGGATCAGGAAAACTTCTGAGTTTGGGGTCACAAAAAAAAATCAATTTAAAAGCTGATGTTTTTCACCTGCTGCTAAAAATTTCATAAACCACAGGACAGATTTTAATGAAACTCTCAGAAAGTATTCATTAGGCTATAACTGATATAACTTTTGAAATCAACCCCAGTAAATACGGCTGCCATAGCAGAGCAGCATTAGATAACACAAAAAAAGGTTCACCTCAGTTAATTGTACGGGAATTGTGCTAACATTTGGTGTTGTACAGTAGTCCCTGACATTGTGGGGGTTACATTGCAGACACCTCCGTGATAGGTGAAAATTTGCGAAGTAGGGACGTTATGTTTATTTTAGAATTTCTATATATTTTAAGGCTTTATAAACCCTTCCCACACTCTTTAGAAGGTGCAGAACGTTTGGGTGGCATCATGTGACTTGAAATAAATTCAGTCTATTAAGACATGCCCGTATTGTTCATGTCTGAAGAAGGATGGGGAGAGGGAATCGTCCATTTCAGAAGGTTAATTTTAAACGCACGTAAAGTACAAGAATTACCAGCCCTGGGCCATTACTGCCCCAACATGTGGTCACAAGGAATGGCATAGAGTGAAGGCAGAACACATATGATCTTCAGAGCTTGGCCACACCTCCCAGCCTTTGCCTTCGGGTGAAAAATATCCGACCCGGCCCCGGCCCGTAGCCATCATTTCTGAACCCCACCCGACCCGATGAATTAACAGTAGCTATAGCTCCGAACCCGAACCCCCTGAACATTTTTAATTAAGCTTTGACTGCTTATATAGTTATTATCAGTCAGCGGACGCGAGCGGCTGAATAAAAGGGGCAGAAGATCGGAGCTGAGGGGTTGTTTTTCCTTTCATGGCCGTCAAAGTGCATTAAATCCCTGCTTCTGCCTGCAATCTGCATTATTCAGACACGGACCCTGCTCGGACATGTCTGCTTTGGGATCTCACCTGTTTGGGTCGTCGGCCGTGCATATCCGCTGACTGCAGCGGCTGAACGTCCATTTGGGCGATGGATCGCTTCCTGGCAGTACTGGTAGTCCCATCTGAAGCTTAACTGAACTTTATTTTACCTCTTTCAAAGCTGGTCAGCCCATGGTCAAATGGCCGCGTACGGCTGGTGATTGTATGGCAAGCCATGTTGTCATGTCATTGGATAGTATGGCAAGTCATGTTGCCAGATAATTGGATCATTAGCCATACACGTTTGCTGATGCAATCAAAAACGCAACACCGACCCGGCCTACCCATCCAGCACATTATTACGGACTGGCCCAAATTCGGATCGGGCTGGGCCAGGCTTTCGGCCCGGGTTAAAAATGACAGCTCTACCTCACAGGAGGAGTCACCACTTTCGACGAATGGGAAGCCCTATTCTAATTCATGTGACTAAGCTCTCAACCAATAAAATCTCACCATCTTGTGTTCTAAAAATGATGGGTGTGTGGATGTTAGGAATTGTACGCGTTGAACTAAAACTACACTCGCTACCGGAAACGGAAATCAGATCGTGTTTTAACACGATATCATAATAAATAAATAAAAAACAAAACGCATATATCCACACATTTCATTAAGCTAACATATTATCTGAATAAAAATATACTTCAAGTCTCGGGAAAATGTCACAAAAGAGCACAGCAAAAGAGAGCAGACAGACTGATGGTACAGTTACTGAGCCAATCAGCACCCGGGATACAAAGCACAATGCTCTGGTTGGTCGCCTTCCATCAATCGGCCAATCATATGTTGTGTACAATCTTACATTGAAAACCCATGAAACAGTGAGTCCGCAAAAGTTGAACCGCGTAGCGAGGGACTACTGTAATATCATAAAATCATTCATAACACGTTCTGATCACTTCACATTGTACAACATTGGCTTAAAACTTTGATGTCAGGGTCAACACTGTCTGTTAGTAAAATATCTCATCAACCAGGGAGCAGATTTTAGTGAAACTCTCAAAAAGTAATTATCTGATGTATACCTTGCGAAGATCTGTGTTTTATTTGTGTTTTCTTGTGTCATCTGTCCTGCCTTACTCAGTGTCCTTCATGTTGCCAGCTGTTGCACCTGTCCTCTATCCCAACCATCCCAGGTGTTCACCATTGTCTCTTGTTAGTGTCCCTATAAGCTCTGTGACAGTTGGTTTCTCCCTTGTCTGTGGATTGTCCTCCCAAGGCGTTCACGTCCTGTTTTCCGCTGTGTCTTCTTGTCCAAGCCCCAAGTAAGTTTGGCTGCCATGTCAGCCTTTTTGTTTACTAAATAAATATTATTTGGTATTTTATTCTTGAGTTCCCAGTATCTGTAAGCACACTGGGTTCAAAACCACACCAAAACACGATATACGTACAACTCCAGATAGCCTGCACAGCTAATTGGCCTTAGCCAACACCAAAAACAGATAAAACACCATAACTTTGATGCGTACTAAGCTAAATTTGGGGTGGTAGTAGTAGAGTGTGATCCTCAACACATTCTTTGGGCGCTAAGACCTTGCGAGATATTACAATAACATGACAATTTGCATACCATTTACAAGATGTGACCAAAATGGCTCCGCTTCTTTGCATCATAAGAAAAATTGTGTTTAAATGTCTGTAATGAACGATAGCGGTCGATATGCGTTCAGTCAGGGAACATTAGGTCTTTGATTGTTAAATTAAAATAGCCTGACCACCACAGAATGACTTCTCTAGAAAGAAACACGAACACGTCCATCAGTTTTCAGTGTCAGCTTCTGCAGAAGTGGCTCACAATCTCTTATCCTACGAATATAGGAGAGTATTTCCTTCAGGTTGCAACTTGCTCCGACATTTCAAGGAGAGGAGTTGTAAGTATCAATGCGAGAGTGAGTGATTGGAGGGGTGGCAGGGGCATTCTTCAGCAGTCAGTTCATCCACCATTGACAGGAACTAAGTGGAATATCACCCCCTACAAGTCTCTGCAGTGTTGGAATGTTAGGCTCCTCCTTTGCTTAGAAGAATCAGCATCAAATATGACTTCAATGTGCAGATGAAAGCAGTAAGAGTTTTCTTGAGGGTTTATTGTCACAACACAATTTGTACTGACATTTAAATAACACTTTGGCGCGTTGCTGCACTGTGCATGTGTGTTTTGTGACTACCCAAAATTACCTAGCTGTCTTAGGAAAGGTTGAATCAATCACCAATTAAAATGTTCATTTCTTCAATCATTTCCAATATCTGGTATATCTTGTAAAAGTGCACAAGGGGACTGTGTCCTCTTCTAGTTGTCACCAGGCAAAAATGTAAGCACAGAACGAAATACACGTGCACAACTGTGCCTGCAAAGATGCAAACAACCAAGCACAATGATTTATCTGATTCAGAATAGCTAAATGATGAATTTGATTTGATCCAAGAAACCCAAACATTTAGAAGGACTCACAAAGGCACAGGAAGAACATGCAAACTCATCAGTGATGACGCAACACCGCTGTACCAACCATAAAATAAAGTGTCAAAAACAGGAACAAAAAGTGTCCTTTTTAAAGATCTAACTGATTTAAAGAGTAAACACCGTCATCATCAAATACTTCCCATCACAAAGTATTCCTGTGTTCATACCTACAAACCAAAATGACTTTAAAACATGTGCAATAAAATGCCCCTTTATTATAAATACAAGAGCAAAGCTGCAAGTCATTAAGCTCGCCCTTACTAAACGCTTGCCACTGATGCCTAGTAGAATTAAAGACTTCAGCAAATCAAGTGACACGGCGTGGAAATACACACGGAAATCCCTGAATCAAAGATGCCGTGAAGAGGAGGAAGGATTTAAACCAAGTTTAACCGAAAGGAAGGGTGTTTTCTCCGCCGGCGCAGGAAGCAGAGCAGAGAGGCAAAACAGTCTTTTGAAAGCACAAAGAGAAATAAACGCTTCCTTTTAATAGCAAGTCTGTTAGAAGACTAGCACCTGGACACCAGGATAAAAAAGGGAAAGAGGAAAAAAGAAAAGGATGCAGTGAAAGAAGTGCAGACGCTGCATATTACAGGGTGTAACTGCACGAGTATGTCTGCAGCAAATAACAAGGTTGTCTCTTTCTGCTTGATCTCCTAATGCCCTCCTGACTTGTGTGTGTGTGTGTATGTGTGTGTGTGTGTGTGGGGGGGGGGGGGGGTATTTCTTATGCTTTATACTGTAAGCGTGCAGCACCACTATTAATTCACTGACACCTTAATTTGGAATACTCCACTTTAAGTCTTTACATTTACTTGAGTTGAAAAGGTGAAGCAGCTGAGAAGAGAAAAAAAAAAACGTCCTCAAAGGTTGAAAAATGTCATTAAATGTTAATATTGAGATTTTTATGTTCAATGTTTAACCATTGTTTACGTTTAAGATAATTATTTTACAACTAAAACATGGATCTAATCACATAAGTCAGTAAATGTTGTAAATGTTGGGCCCGAGTTGACGCAGCATACAGCATGCACAAACA